ATACATGGCCTTAGGCACGAGTCAGGGTTTCCTAAATTTCTCAAAAATAAAATATTTAGGTGGCGACTCTGTATCTGGCAAAGTAGTCCATGTTTGGCACTTCTTTCAAAAAAATCTGTTTTCAAAAACGATTTGTCACAATCGATAGACGATTTGGCCACAAATTTTGCCAATAACACAAATAAATTCCAACAAGTGATTCAAATGAAACAATTCAAGGAAGAGAAACAAAATTTGAAAAATAACAAAAGACAACTCCATTAATCTTCAAAGATGATAAAAATTCTAGTGATGAACAGAATTAGGTTATGAGCTAATACTATTCTACTTCTAAAAATTAAGATAAACTGCTCCTAAAGATACAGAGAAGTATATGATGTGTTTGATGCTTTCTTGATGCCTTGCATGTTTCTTTTTGCCCTCTTTATAGGTTGTAGGCTTCAAACAAACAATAAGTAACTACCTTGGCAGTTTGTTTTCACAGGAATGACTTCTCCAAAATTTATGCCACACTTCATGGGATAACTTCTCCAATATTTATTCCACACTTTTCAACCATTTGATTTCGTAACCAACTAAGTTACTGTCTCCTCCTATACAAACAAGACAACAATAATAATAATAATGTGACCATAGGTATTTTTCAAAAAGATAATTCATGGTCTGGATCGACAAACCATAATCGACATGCCACAATCAATAAGACTAGATAATCAATAGACCACAATCAACAAAAATTTGACCACAATTGACAAGAAATATTTTATGATACAAACAATGCCCCCAACTCTTTAAAAATGTAAAGTCTCAAATTCTTGAAGAGTTGTATAATTACTATGCCAAATCCAAGCATTATTTGGTAATTAATTAATCACCATTTTATGACTTTCTCTCTCTAGAGAATACTCAATAGCATAAATAATGAAAGTTATAATCAATTACTAGAACATGCAGAATGACATGTGTACCTCAACCCATTTAGGTGTGCTCTTTATATAGGAGTGCCCTGTCTCATCCTATGTTTTCCTTTTCATCTAGGACTCTATTTGTCTAACAAGTATCTTTATCTAAAATTCATCTTCCTAATTTGGTTGGATTTAATCTTCTCAATAGTCCTATTCATGCCCAATTTGGTGTTGGAATATGTGTGAACGTAGAATCCCACATTAGATAAACAGTAAAACAGATAGGTCTTAATTATACATTAGATGGACTCTCTAAGTGGGTATGAATTCTAAATAATGTATGTTGGACCTTGATGTTAAACATATGGGTTCTGAAGTTTCTTCTCAATGGATTGGGCCAGTGATTGTTATGCTCTTGTGGGCTCTTCGATTCCCTAACAACTGGTATCAAAGCCAATGGCTAGTAATCTGTGGGAGAACCTTCCTAGAGCATCAATATTGTTGGCCTTGGGCTTGCACAGAAACTCTCGATGGACCAAGAAAAATCCATAATGACTCTTGATGGAGCAAAGAAAATTCCTGGTGCACGTGGCAAGGTTGGACCACGATAAGATGACTCTCGATGAAGTATGGTGGCAAATGATGGAGTGTGTGATGAACTTGCTAATGATAGATCAAACTCAAAAGGGAGCAAGACGAGACCCGATGTTTGGTTCACACAAGATTATTAGAACATGTGTAAAGGTAGAATCCTACATTAGATAAAAAGTAAAAGAGATAGGTCTTAATTATAGGCTTAAGCTTTAAGTGGGTATGAGTTCCAAATAATGTATTATAGGCCTCAATGTCACAACCCACCTCGGTGCCTATGGTTGGATTCGCAACTAATTAATTCTAAAATTTCTAAGAACTAAATTAAATAATGCAGCGGAATGAAATAAAAGATGTAGATACATATCTGGAGCGTACATGTGAATTATTATTTATGTAACATAATTCAGATAATAATTACAAATAAACACGAGAAAAAAAAAAACAAAAAACAAAAAATACGATGTTCATCTCAAGTTTTGGTCCTGATTAATAGGGTAAAACCATTATTCCTTAAGTTTATTCACCTGAAAGGGTTTTAACAGCTATAAGCATATGACAGAGTGAGGAATATTATACTAAAAACATAAGGATATACAAATCACCGTGAATAATTGTTTAGGCTAAATGATGAATAGTTTGGTTCGAATAAATTATTTTAAATAATAGACATACAATACAAAAATTGTATATGCAAAACAATCATAACCACGATACAGAACAGAATAGAAGGTCAATGGATCCATGACAGACAAAGGCTCACGAAGTGACTAATCAGAGGGCCAATGGTTATTTAAGTCCCCCAAGGTATGGGACCTCAGTGGTGGTACTTATAAAAATAAATGGTTATATACTTATCGTCAAATAAATTTCAAAATTTAAACAATCATATCCATGGGTTTTAATTTTAAATAAGCATGGCTCATAAAATGAATAACATAATTGAATGTTAATATAATTAAAAAAACATGATTTGCATAAAATAACTTATAAAATAATTTATGGCTACTCAAGGTATAATATAGCTCATCTCAATACTGCCCTTACTATTTATTTATTTATTTTCCCTTTGAGCTCTTTATTCCTTCGGCTCTTTTTTCACTCATGTTCTTACCTGTTTTGCCTTGCCAAAGCCTCCATTCCTTATATATAGGCCCATAGATGCTGTTTCATCACCCTATGAAATTATCCATCCCATAGGCTCCATTACTTAGCCCTTTTAGACCCCCACGTGGCTTGCCTTAACCAAAGCCACCCCATGCTCTTAAGACAACTTAACCTCTTAAGTAGCCAACACACCTCAAAAATGCCCCTAATCACATTGTTAATCACATTGTTATGTTTGGTTTGGCCCAGAAAAATATATTAATCACATTGTTATGTTTTGGTAATAACAATGCCCCTAATTTTAAGTTAGATTATATTTTAGCGAGTATAACTATAAAATCAAATATTTTATTTTATTTTATTTTTAATTTAATTAATTAAACAATTGATAAAAGATGTAGATAAATATCTGGAGCGTACATAGGAATTGCTATTTATGTAACATAAGTTAGATAATAATTACAAATAAACACAAGGGAAAAAACAAAAATAAAAAACACGATGTTCATCTCAAGTCTGAGTCCTGAGTAATGGGGTAAAACCATTCTTTCTTAAGTTTATTCACCTGAAAGGGTTTTAACAGTTATAAGCACGTGGCAGAGTGAGAAATATTATATTAAGAGCATAAGGGTATACAAATCAGCATGGATAGTTATTTAGGCTAAATGATGAATAGTTTGGTATGAATAATTTATTTTAAATAACAGACATACAATACAAAAATCGTATATGCAAAACAATTATAACCACTGTATAGAACAGAATAAAGGGTCAATGGATCCATGATAGACAGAGGGTCACAAAGTGACTAATTAGAGGGCCAATGGTTATTTAAGTCCCCCAAGGTATGGGACCTCAGTGGTGGTACTTATAAAAATAAATGGTTATATACTTATCGTCAAATAAATTTCAAAATTTAAACAATCATATCCATGGGTTTTAATTTTAAATAAGCATGGCTCATAAAATGAATAACATAATTGAATGTTAATATAATTAAAAAAACATGATTTGCATAAAATAACTTATAAAATAATTTATGGCTACTCAAGGTATAATATAGCTCATCTCAATACTGCCCTTACTATTTATTTATTTATTTTCCCTTTGAGCTCTTTATTCCTTCGGCTCTTTTTTCACTCATGTTCTTACCTGTTTTGCCTTGCCAAAGCCTCCATTCCTTATATATAGGCCCATAGATGCTGTTTCATCACCCTATGAAATTATCCATCCCATAGGCTCCATTACTTAGCCCTTTTAGACCCCTACGTGGCTTGCCTTAACCAAAGCCACCCCATGCTCTTAAGACAACTTAACCTCCTAAGTAGCCAACACACCTTAACTTTAGCCTATTTCTACCTTAGCCCACACAATTTACTAATTTCATGGTTATGTTTGGTTTGGCCGAGAAAAATATATTAACACTATAGGAAAAAGGAGGTATGGTGGCGTTTTTTTAACGACATTTTTTTAAACGTCACTTTTATCAATGTTTAACAGCGTTTTATAAATGCCGCATATTCTATTAAACAAAATGACACCGTTTTATAATGGGAGACGTTTAAAAACGCCTCCAAATACGGTAGTCATACGCGCCTCCTTTTGTGAAATCTATTTTGAATCAGAACCCTCTCTAAGCATAGTACACAAGACGATTTCGATCGAAGATTCAGAGCTCTCTCTCTCTCTCTCAACCCTTATACGTACACATCTCAGTCTCCCTCTCAACCCTCTCTAAGCTCCATCGAAGATTCAGATCCAAGCTCCAGCGAAGATTCAGATCGAAGCTCCATCGAAGCGATTTCGAAGCTCTATTCGAAGATTCATATCTAAGCTCCATCGAAGATTCAGATCGAAGCTCCATCGAAGCAATTTCGAAGCTGCACCGTCGAGGTAGCGAGCTCCACTGTCTCATTTGCAAAGATTCAGAGATTCAGTGATTTCCAAAAGCTCAGATCTGAACTCTAACCCCTCGATTACTCGCATTTCAAGCTCCGATGGTGGTGAATAGTCTACTTTGTTTCTAAACTTTAATCGGTACTCTCTCTCTCTCTCTCTCTCTCTCTCTTCTCAGTTTGTTCATGCAGACAAATTGTCCTTTCGTTTGACTGCGTTTGTACATGCTATTAGTTGGCTGTAGTTTCTCTCTAGCTCGAAACTGGTGTTTGATTTGGATGTCTGTGGAGTTGAATATGTACATTTTGAGTTTCTATGGCTTCTTGAGCTTGTTGAGCTGTGCGGTCTCCTCTCTTTCTGCACTATTTTGAGTATAAGATTACCAAAAAAAAAAAAAAAAAAAATTTGAAATTTCATAACACAGTTGCTTCAGCTCAAGTTTGAATCTGTATGTATGTGTAATGTGTGTGCTCGATGAATGTTGATGGTGTGGAGATGGAATTGTGTTGTAGGGGTGGGAAGAAGGTGAAGGGCTTGGGAAAGAGAAGCAAGGGATCAAAGGATATGCCAGGGTTAAGGACAAATAGGACACTGCAGGTTCTTTTTTTGCTCTGATTTTTGTTTATTTGTCAAATTCATCCTCTATTATGTTGCCTAGAATAGAGAGTTCTTTTATTTTTATTTTTTTAATTGTCTTATGAATCAAAGGAGCTAATAAGGTTAAACTTGTTGTGGGATGAGTTTTTCATTTATTCGAAGAGTAAGAACAATTCAGCACATATAGAGCAGTTTGACAGTTTAAAAATTACAACAGGTATTGGTGTGGATGAACCCAAAAATAATTGGGCGTTTGATACATCACTTTTTGACAACATCCTAAAGAGATTGAAAGTGGTAATTCTTGCATTTATCTTCAAATTAGATTTAATAAGCTTTAAAAAAAAATTGTTCTTACGTTTTTCTGTTTGTAAATCTTTCTTTTTATTTTTGCAGCAAGCAGCAAAAATCAAGGATGAAGGTACATCAAGATGAAAATGAATTTAGATTGCACTTAATAATATCATGATAGTTTGATGTGGATCCTCTTTGTATGCATCTTGCAGCTGTTGAAAAGGATGGCATTCAAGACGTTGATACTGATACCACCACAGAGACTAATACAGTTGCCAAGTCTACTCGGCCCCAACGAAGGTCAATATGGTTGCCCACATCAATGCTAGATCATTTTTTTTTTTGAAATTTATTTACTTGTTTATTTTTGTTTCCTTCTTTAATAATCACCATGTATAAGAAAAGAGAGAGAGGGAAACTTGTCCATGCATATTCTTCCGAGGATCTTGGAGGAATACTTGTGAGTTACTAACCTTTGTAATTTAGGCCCCTCTGTTTTCATTTTATAGAGTTGATTGAATTGTGAGCTAGTTAATTTGTGGTGCCTTAGTTATAAGTGGTGAGTTTATTATTTGGGTCACTATGTTGTCTGAAGTTACCAAATTATTTTTACAAAAATGAAGTTCTAAGATTTTGGAGTTTTTCCATCTGCTCTTATTTTCTTAATATGTTATTGTACAGTTTTCAGAGGTTGCCTCTATTTTCTTGTTTTGACTATAATTTTTAATGGATTGTTGTAATTCTATGGAGAAAATCATAGCTAAGCTGATTGCTTGAGAACATCGTTTTACAATTTTCTGAATTTACTCAGGTTTCACGGAAGGCGGATTTAGAGTGGTTGATCGAATTTGAATTGGTCAAATTTCAGATAGAAAGAAATTGGCTACAAAATCTGAATATTTGGTGAAATTGGCAAAAGTTCATATTTGAAATTCAGGAAATGAATGGCTTTCTTATATTGTTTATTCATTATGGAAATTAATGGTTCTATGTTAAAATTGAGTATTAAATCTCACCAGGTGTAGACACCCCATTTTTGGCCGTCCTCGAGACTTGGACGTCACCGTTTGAACACTCGGTGATCATCCATGTTTGTGTTCGTCGTGAGTTCCCGGAGGTCTCGGCCACGCGGTTTGCCTCGAGATCTCTCGACTCGATTTTTTTGTGTTTGGTTTTGCACCAAACACTTGTGTTTTGCCTTTGAGGGGCAGGGAATGGCTTGTGGGCCATCCCCACACATTACCGGCCATGGCTTGAGGCCACCGGCCAGTGTTTTGTTTCCATCGGCCATATCTTTGGTCGGTTGGCACTCTAGATGGTCGACCGGCCATATATTTTGGTCAAATTGCATTTTTGGCTGGCCGACCACTGTACATCTGCTTTTGCAGATATTTTTATGCCAGCTGTGCTAGCTGGCATACACTTTGCTCCCCTGGATTTCACTCTTGACTAGCTTACTTGAGAAGCTTTGCAAGAGTGAGCTCTATAAGAGGGAGCCTCTTCTCCCTCTATTAGGGTTAGAGCTTTTTTAGCATACACTTTGCTCCCCTGGATTTCACTCTTGACTAGCTTACTTGAGAAGCTTTGCAAGAGTGAGCTCTATAAGAGGGAGCCTCTTCTCCCTCTATTAGGGTTAGAGAAAAAAGCTCCACAGGTCTGGTTTTTAGGGTTAGAAGTGTGTGTCTATTCTATCTCTATACCTCTCTCCCTTGTGAGTTAAGTGTGTGTTTGTTCTTACTATTGCACACAAACACCTACCATTACACCTTTCCTTAGTTGCTGAGGCATTAGGGGGTTGATCTTGGACTTTTTGAGCTGGTTTTGATCCAAAAAGAGGTCTGGTCTTGTGATCTTGGAAGTGTTCTTCAAGGGTGAGTGTTCTTGCCCTTTATTTCCCATTTTTTCATAGCTTTTTTGACTACCTTGCAACTGTTTTTAGACTTTGCATATAACATATAAAAGTTCTAGTTTTACCTGCTTAAAATAGTTGTTTAAGATTGCTTTGAGATTTGGGATTGTTTGACCACTCTTAGGCCTTGTTTGGCCCTATTTTTGTGCTATTTCGGTGAGCTCCGGGACCACTTTGTTTGGGCCTCCTCACCACTGAAATCTTGAGGGATTTCAGTGGTGAGGATGGTGCCTTGAGGTCCTAAGAAGGAGAGGGCCACCCCCTCTCCTTGTTGTCCTTGAAAAGGGTCATTTTAGCCTCTCGAGTGAGCATCTTATTTAGGTTCATGTTGGTCTTATCTTAGCTGCTATCTAGTGTTATTTTGCCATGCTATAGCACTGTTTTATGTTGGTTTAGGCACACCATGCTTGTTAGCATACATGTCTTGTAATGCCATCATTTGCCTTAACATGTACTTAGCATGTAGATTACCATGCTTGCTTGTTTTGGCCAAGCTTTGTGAAGCTTTTAGGCTTGTTTTGCCATGCTTAAGGTTTGATGCAGGTTGTCTTAGCTATGCTTGCCATGCTTTGTTTAGCCTCTTTGCATTCTTGGCTTGTAAGCCTCAAGTGTATGAACCATGAGCATGCATTACTTGCATTATTCCAGTGGTTTGGAACCATTTAACATGTCATTTCAGTCCTCATGACATGCTTGCATGCTTGCATTTGATGCCCCTTTAATGTGTTAAAAGGTTGTTGTCTTATGCCCCTTGTTTAGGCCCTTGTGCATGCTTGCATGTTTAAGCCATTTAGATGCCATCTAGATGTGTTATTGGCTTCGTCTTAACATGCTAAAACTCTGATTTTGGTTGCTTAATTCATGCCATGTTCGATTTTGCTAAGTGTAGTTCAATACACCTTTGGGTTGCCTTGAATTTTGGCTTTGCTTGCATGCTTTGTTTGTCTTTTCTAGTTGGTTTAGCACCTTCCATGACTTGATTTTCAGAGCTTATAATGCACACCATTTGTCCATGTTTTCATCCTCTTAAGTGTGCTTGAGAGTTGCTCTTCAATGCCTAAGTGTTGGTCCTTGTGTGCATGCATGCTTGCATGTTATTTGGTCCTCATTCTCTTAGCAATGGGCCACTTGTAGACACCCCATTTTTGACCGTCCTCAAGACTTGGACGTCACCGCTTGAACACTCGGTGATCATCCATGTTTGTGTTCGTCTTGAGTTCCCGGAGGTCTCAGCTACGCGCCTTGCCTCAGGATCTCTCGACTCAACTATTTTGTGTCTGGTTTTGCACCAAACACTTGTGTTTTGCCTTGGAGGGGCAGGGAATGGCTTGTGAGCCATCCCCACACTCCACCGGCCATGGCTTGAGGCCACCGGCTGTGTTTTGTTGCCACCGGCCAAATTCTTGGCCGGCTGGCTATCTTTTTTTGGTCAATTGCATTTTTGGCCGGCCGACTACTATGCATCTGCTTTTGCAGATATTTTCATGCAGCTGGCATGCACTTGGCTCCCCTCCATACACGTGTATGGAGGGATTTCCCTATTAGCTAGCTTGTCTTGTAAGCTTACAAGATTGAAGCTCTATAAGAAGAGGCATCCTCTCCCTCTTTTAGAGATTAGACAACTTAGACAACATTGTTAGAGTGCTCTGGTTTTAGGTTAGGATTTGTATCTATCCTATATCTATGTCTCTCTTCCTTTTGTGTTTTGTGTGTGTATTTAGCCTTAGTTTTACACACAAACACTCACCATCACACCTTCTCTTGGAGCTGAGGCCCTTGAGGGTGTTAGGTTGCTCCATTAGGGTTAGACAAAAAAAAAAATACAGAGGGAGCTCTGAGTTAGGGTTAGTTCATAGTTGTAGCTATTCTATCTTTATATCTCTTTCTTTAGTGCATAAGTGTGTGTTTTAGTCTTACTATTGCACACAAACACATAGAGTTACACCTTCTCTTGGTTTCTGTGGGGCCAGAGAGCTATTCTTGGTGTTCTTGAGTAGATTCAAGCTTGAAGAACCAACTGGAACATTGTTTGTGAAGAGGGTCATCAAGGGTAAGAAATTCACCATTTATTCCCCATTTTTGCATAGCTTTTTAACCAATCTTGAAACTGTGTTTAGACTTTGTACATAACTAATAAAAGTCTTGATTTTGAGTGCTTAACATAGTTGTTTAAGGTTGCTTTGTCGTTTGGGGGTGTTTGACCCCTCTTAGGCCTTGTTTGGCCCTATTTTTGTGCTATTTTGGTGAGCTCCGGGACCACTTTGTTTGGGCCTCCTCACCACTGAAATCTTGAGGGATTTTAGTGGTGAGGATGGTGCCTTGAGGTCCTAAGAAGGAGAGGGCCACCCCCTCTCCTTGTTGTCCTTGAAAATGGCCATTTTAGCCTCATGTGTGAGCACCATTTTTAAGTGCATTTTGACCATGTCTTAGTTGTTATTTGTGCTTATTTTGTCATAATATAGCATTGTTTTTACTTGGTTTAAACACACCATGCTTGCCTTGCATACATGTCTTGTAATGCCATGATTTGCCTTAATATGTGCCTAGCATTTAGCCTATTATGCTTACTTGTTTTGGCCTAGCTTTGTGAAGCTTTTATTAGCTTTGTGAAGCTTTCATGCATGTTTTAGTATGCTTTAGCTCTGTTCTTAGTTGCTTTAGCCATGCTTGACATGCTTTATGTAGTCTCTTTACATTCTAGCTTGTAGGCTTTGAGTGTGTGAAGTGTTGAGCATGCTTCATTTGGTTTATTTCAGTGGTTTGACCCCACTTGTAGCATCATTTCAGTCCTCTTAACATGCTTGCATGCTTGCATTTAATGCTCTTTTGATGCCTTAAGAGGTTGTGTTGTATGCTCCATGTTTAAGCATTTGTGCATGCCTCCATGCGTAGATCATCTAGACGCCATCTAAGTGGTTTTTTGGGGCTTGTCTTAACATGTTTTAGGACTGTTTTGATTCATTTTGATCATTTGCTTCATGTGTCATATGATCATGGTTTAACCTCCTTTGGCTTGTCTCAGATTTTAGGCTTTACTCGCATGCTTTGCTTGTGTTGATTAGTCAGTTTGGCACCTCTTTTCCATGCAATTTCAGAGCTTAATGTGCATGCCTTTTGCCCATGCTTGCATCCTCTTGAGTGTGCTTGAGAATTACTCTTTGGTGCCTAAGTAATGGACCATGTTTGCATGCATGCTTACATGTGCATTTGGCCTCAATTCCTTAGTCATTGGCCACTGTTTTGGACCTAGTAGAGGGCTGTCCAAATTAGTTTAAGTCCACCCCTTTGCATGTTGTTGCATGCTCACCTTGTGTGTTGTTGCATACTAGTGTGTTGTTGCATGATTGAATGATGTCACATGCTTGCTTGCTTGCCTGCTTGAACGTCCATATTATGTCTTGCATACTTGTAGGTTGCATTGCTTTATGCCTTACATGCTTCTTTACTTAGGTTGTGTGCCTAACCTACATTACACAT